TCCCCCCCCCCCCGACGTTTTTCCCACCTTCTTGCTTTTTCCGCCCTGTATTTCACGAATCCCTCCGCTACAACAACCGTCGCCGATCACCCGGGGTACGGAATACGCGTAGGAGTTAGGGACGCACACGAAATGGGGAGAAATGGCGAAATGAAGGCCCGCGAGGAGAGCCGCCAAGAGAGACACACGAGAAATAAAAACGGGCAAAATAGGGAAAAAGCAAAAAGAGCGCACGCGCCGAAGGGCTTCGCGGGATGACTGCGGAGAAAGGTTGGCAGGCAGCGTCCGATGCGGTGCCGATCAATAAACGCCATAATAGGAACGGCGTCCCAGCGTCGTCGTTGACTACGACGAAGACCTACCCCCTTCCCGTGCCACATCCCTACTTCCCGCGCGCCTTCACCCTCTATTCCCTACTCGGTGCTTCGGGATCGCCTTTGGTCTCTTTCCTTTTCTTGCTTTTGCGCTCCCGTAGCGACGGCGCGAGCCATGCAAATGCGAAGGATGCTTGCAGGCATCTTCCCTAAGAGCCATAGCGCGGTGTGTGTGTGTGCCCGGAGGACAGCCAGCTTGCGCACGACCCCTTTGCTCCCCATCTTCCCCTTTACTTTTCTGGGGAGAGCCTACAACGGAGACACCGCTTCAAACCTTCTTACTTGTTTCTTTTTTCCTCCCCATCGGCTCAACTTCATCTTTCGGCTTCCTTACAGGCAGGCTCGTCGTGTCTTTCTCCCTTTTTTTCTTTTCTTTTTTGGCCTTTTGATTGTTACAGCTCGCCTGCAACTATATGACGACGTCGCATCGTCCCCTAATTCGCATGCCCCCTATCTCTCGCCACTCAAGATCCACCTGTCTTCCCTCTTTCTCTATCGTGTCCCTTCGCCACATCTCCCTTCAAACGCGAGCCCGCGTCTCTCTCGCCAAAGACGTATACTGCTTGCACAGGCACTCCTTCGCTTCGGGTGCGAAAGGCATGGATAAACACGACTAAAGAGAAGCTGCGATGCACCTCGCCGATCGAACCTCTTTCTTTCCCTTATTCTCCCCAACCCGACGGTTCATTCGCCTTCGGCACGCAGTTACGGCAGCGGTCGATGTCAACAGAAAAGGACTTCTTTTTCCTTCCCATTCCACGCAAATTTTCTTTTTTTATTATTTGTCGCTCACAGCCAGGAGGTAGGTCGCGCGACCCTTTTCTCCCTTCATCCCCAATTTCTCGTCCCCAACTCCCGTGCGACTCAAGCCAGCGTCAGTTCCTTCATCCGGCGGTCATCGATAAGTTTTGCCGTCTCTTTTCTAACTGTCACTCGCTGACGTGGCTGCAGCGGTGGTCCGCATAACGTAAAACGCCGAGCACCCGTCAGTCCTTCCATTATTTTTCTTTTTTCCCCTCAATACATTCACACCAGCTTAAGGAAACTTTCCCTTTCTTTCGACAGCTTTACACGTCCTCACTGTATCACCTTCCCTTCTTGCCAACTCTTGCCAAAACGATATGCATGAATTTTTCTTTTACCGCTGACAAGGAGCAGATTCACATTCCCCACCTACCCTATAGCTACTCTCATCGACCAACCCCTTTTCCCTTTTTTTTCTTCCCGAGATATTTTCCCCACTGAATGCCTATTGCACCGCCCTTTCTAGAAGCACATCTCCTCATCATCCGTCTGGGCGATCTCCCGCGCTATTCCTTTTTGCTGCCTTATCCCGTTCAGACGGACGGCAATCGCTGGGCCACGCGTTTAACACTTTTCTTTCTTTTCTATCTCCCTTCACGGCTACTAAAATTCTTTCGCCTATGCCGATATTGAAGATAGAAGTCTTCATTGCTTCTTCGGTCCCCTTCTGGCCCATTCTACATACGGGGATCTCGCGTTAGCCAGCGCGGAATGCGTTTGGCGACGCCAATTGAAGTGAGCCGAGGAACATGCATGAAGGGACGGCTAGCTCTTCCCATTTTTTTTTTTTTTGCTGCAACGGTCTCCCTATATCTTCTGCTTATTCTGAACGCGAGTAGCGGGACCACGAGCGTGCTGTCGTGCGTCTCTCGCCGCACAGCCAATTGTCTCTGGAGCACTGATGATAGGAAGCAGGGGGGCGAGATGAAAAAAAAAGAAACAAAGAATTATAAAAGGGAAAATGTTTCAAACGCACGAGAGAGCGGCCACTTGAAATTGAGGCTACCAATAAAGAAAACCCGGGTGGGATCAAGAGGCGAAGAGAGGAACGGTGGGCTTTAAAAGAAATAAAGATACGACTAAAATAGAACGCATCTATACCCTCTTCAAACCCGGCTCTGTCCCCATTCGCTAACCCTTATTTCGTCCGCTTCCCTTCACTGCAGGCGAGCGATTGCAAATTGTAGGGGCAGCGCGGCAGCACAACGGAACGGACGTTGAAAGAAATAAATAGGGAAAGCAAAAGGCTTGGGGGAAAGCAGGTAGCGACCACGCTTGCATGATGACGGCGACGGTCAGATTCAAAAGCGAAGCGCATGGGAGAGTGCTGTACTGAAAGCATGAATTTAAAAATATATATATAGATGGAAGCGTTAGAGTTTAGGGAGAGGTGGGGAAGGGGTTACGCACATTCATAACGGGAAATGGGAGGAGCACAAGACTTCGGGATGAAAGAAAAACAAAACAAGGAACGGCCGGCGTGGGAGGGGCGGGACGGGTGACCGCAGTACGAAGCCACGGGGGTCTCGCACTTTGCCCTACACGTGACCCATGTGGAGCACGCAGCGCGTAATACAGCGCGATGCATGCGCAAGAGCGTATCAGAGAAAGAGGGTAAAGGGAAGATAGGGAGAATAGCTGGAAGCGAAGAGATGACCGTAAAGTGGAAGGGAACAGGAGCTGATCTCGGTTCTGAGAAAAAAAGGAAAAAAAACGAATAAAAAAGACCTAAAAGCCGTAAGTATATATAGGTGAAAAAATGAAAAAATAAATAAGACTGTCGTTAAGAGGCATTTAAAAAAAGGAAAACGAGGCCTCGCCGCGCCAGTGCACTGTTATACATGCACATGAAGAGAAAGGATTGGTTTTAGGGAACGGAATGGGGAGCTGGCCTAAAAAGCGAGACTTTAAGGGGATGGTGGGGAAGAGACGGTTTCTCTCGTCCCCGAATCGGGTAATAGGGAACAAGCTTTGGTTGCGGTCCTCCGATAGAGGGCTCGGTGTGTCGCAAGTTTGCTGACCAGGAAATCCCTTTCGTGCGCATCCGATCACCATTCGTGTTTCGCGGATTTCCGAACTGGTCGTGAGATATCAGTTGGAGATTGGAGGAGGGGAAAAGGAGGTGAAGAGAGAGAAAGTTAGGGGCGCTGATCGAAACCGTTGGGAAATAATTGAGTGCCCGTTGAGAGTGGCAGCTGCGGCATAAAGGAAGAATTAAAGAAAAACGTGGCTGATCCCTGTTTACATGGATTCGTAGAACACGAAAGTGAAACGTCTCCTCGCAGAGGTAGTTGAACATTCATTGTGACTTGTTTCGCCACAAAGGCGAAGGAATGATTACTGCAGTAACAAATTGCAATGTGCCGCGAAGAACGCAAGCAGCTCGAAACTTGCAGCGCGCTCCTCAAGTAGAAAGTACGCGCGGATTGAGCATACACAGGGCGAGCGTGGACAAACAACTGTCACAGCTCTACACATAATACACGCTGCTCAAACGGAAAGAAAGACACGCAAAATGAACGCACAGGTGTACACTGAACGAGCGCGAACAACGGTCCCAACTGTTACTTCAAGTGTGAGCAGCGCGCTCCTTTCGTAAACGCGGCCGCGGCAGCGAGCGAAGTGAAGTTCGTGCTCTCCTTAACTGCTGTAACTTCAAAGCAAACGTGCAGTGGAAGCAAAAGAGAAACAGAGCGCCCGAATAGAGATAAGCGGGTGTGCGAGTGAGCCACCACGCAATAGAGAACATCTATACGCAATATGACCACGCTATGTGGAGGCGTGCGACTACAGCGACGCGCGGCGTGGCGCGGCACGACGACTTCGTCCAGTCTATGTATAAACTTCTGACAAAACCGCGCTGTAATAAGAGCTCCGAGGACGGCCAGCGGTGCATTGTGCGACTAAATGACTCGCCGTTATGACCTTACAGAAGAGACGTTCTTCGGCTTAGTGGTTAGTGTCGGGCGCTTAAGCACGCGAAGTATGTCGTTCGACTCCCCGCTGCGGAAGTATTCCTTGTCGTTTTTTTTCTTCTTTGCAATCTGTTAGTAAATATTTTAGAACGTCATATCCGTGACGGATATATGCCAAGGAGGTGTGGTGGACACCCGGCATAAAAAGTTTGTGTTAAATGTCCAAAATAATCGTGATAGTACAAAAGCGGCATTTATTACGAAGTCATATTCGTGCTGGGGTGGTGATTACATATGCATCACGGGTACGGTGTTCGGCAGAAAGCGGGACGTGCTTGGCTTCGTTTTCCACTTGCCGAAACTCTTCATCCAGAAGAACACGCGTGTCACTATATATATATATATATATACGCGTCGAGCAACTGCGTTCCATTCATATTGTGGCGTGTATGCGAGATTTCGGCACGCTTGAAGTGATGAAATTCGACATGCTGCAGGCGAATCGTTGTCGCGGCTCCAGCTTCAGCACGTGTTCCGTGACTTCACTTTGACCGGTAACAACTTTATTTTATAGTAACAACTTCGTATGCGTGTCTTCACTCCTCTCGTATTCCAGCGCTATTGGTGTTATACTCGTGGCCCGAGTTTACCTCCTTTCACCAAGGACAAACGAAGCACCAATTATATGCACGAAACGAGCGATCGCAAGGTGGAATCGGGATTCCAACGTGCTTTTTTCTAGGTTTCACTGCTAAATGAAGCTTTTCTTTTTATTACCAGAGCCAGAATAAACAGAGAGGTGACGAATAAGTTGAAGAACGTCTCGTACAACTCCTATGCAGATCTGAAATAGTGACGCCATACACCGTGCGACAGACATAAAATGACATGCAACTCACACTTAGTGTCCTCCTTGACCGTCAGAGGCTTGGCGTCGCCGTCCTCGAACAGCCGCACAAACGTGTCGTTCTTTTTATCTGGAATGAAAGAAAAACGCATAGAAGGAAAGGCGTAAACCAATTGTGATACTGCAGCGTAAGTTTGTTAGACGCTATAGAGACTATTAGCGTGGCTAAGTGGTGTGCGTGACGTGGTTCAAACATAACAACGTTTTGCAACGTACAAACGCATACATGGAGCTAACAGAACCTTAAATATCCACTCCACCCTGCCCCCAAAGCCCGAAATAAACACTGATGAAACTGAGGTCGTTCGTGTCTAATGAGAAAGAAAGAAAGAGAGAAAGAAGAAAGAAAGGAAAAAGAAAGAAAAAAAGAAAAGCAGGCACACAATTATGAAACCAAACTAAGAGTCAAGGAATGATGTTGCTGTTGACGGTGGGCAGCAAACGCTATCGCAATCATTGAGCCAACGGAAGCTACTGCTATACGACGGTTAGCCATCATGGACTAGTGCTCGTAGTTAGCGAGTGAATATGGTATCTATATAGAGGGAAGGCTGAACTCGAAACACGTTTGAATTACTTCAAAAAGTGAATATATGTATTCTCGCACCCCATCAATCATCATCATCATCATCATCGTTATCATGATCATATTTCATATTACTTCCAAAGATTGTCGAGGTAGCTCATTGACTATGGCGCTCTGGAGCTGATCACGCGGTTCCGGGTTCGAATCCCCAACCCGCTGTTTCACTACGGTACGCACTGCAAAAATCAAACACGCACGCTTAGCATGCTTAGAATACGGGCCTTACTGAGCACCAAATGGTAACCACCGATCCAGAACCCTCTATTGATACTCTTACTTGTGTTAAATGTAGGTTAAATTTTGGGCGTGGAATATTTTAAGAAATTTGCAACCTAGCTCGAGCAGTCTATGTGTATATATAACGAGATTAAGACGTTTCTCTCTAATCTCATTAGAAACTAAAACGTTTCTAATGATATTAAGACTTTGTCTTTTCTTGGTGAAAGGAGGTAAACTCGGGCCACGAGTGTAACACCAATGGCGCTAGAATACCAGAGGAGTGAAGACACGCGAACGAAGTTGTTACCAAAATAAAGTTGTTACCAAGCTTCTGGAGAAATGTATAACCGGTGATATACGACATGACAGTATAGCAAGAAGCTCGTATAATGTGCAAACTCTGAGTATTTCCTTATAGAAACCCTAGTGACGGTTCCACGTTCAATAGTGTTCCTCCACATGAGCCACTAAGTAGGTGGTCCCGTACGCCTAATTTACCGGCCTCCCCATCTGGGCTTAGAATTCGCACTTCCTACCCATATGAATGCCGTTTCTTTCTTCTTAAGAGAGGCAATCAACTGCATTGTACTTCATCTCCACTTCCCCCTCCCCCCCCCCAAAAAAAAAATTGCGCCACCCACAACGTTCTGATACCTAAATGCCCCGTTTATTGCCGTATACTGCGCTCGGCATCGCCAAATATTGTTAGAGGACGCGGGGAAGGGGTCCAGAACACACACATTTCCATCTGCCCTCATACGCACGCAAGGACGGTTGCGGCGTTTTCGCATGCGCCCATGCAAACGAAACGACGCGTTTTTTCCAAGCGCCCACGGCGGCGTCAAGGCGCATCTCCGCCCCGTCGCGTCACGGTCCAGATTTCAAACTCACTCGCGCATGCGTCAGAGGCGCCCCCTACGCCACCGCAGCTGACTTCTGCTGAACCGCGGACACGGCAGTTGACCTTTTTGGTTTGTCTGTTTTTTTTTTCCTTTCGCTAATACCCGGGCTTCCATCTCGGACTACGTATATATGTGTATATGTACGTGCGCATTGAACACGCAGCTGACTATGAAAATGTACGCGCGCGTACACTAAACACCGTACGCGTACGAAGCCGCATAACGGTATACCCAACGCCTCCACCGCACCACGGCGCTGCTGTACATACCGCGACGCCAGGGCGTTGAAGCAACAGCTGTGGACAGTGACCTAGATTTCGGCTGGGGCTGGGATAGGTGGCGAGAAGGATCACTATAGGAGAGAGGGGCCCTGTGGGGAGGGGGGGAGGGGGGCACGAAATCGGTTCATGGTCGCCCTCCCGTGTGATGGCTTCGTCGGAGGAGGCGTCTGCCCACCCATTTGGAGAGTGCCACCGCGTGATATATACGTACGTATACGCAGAAACAGCCGAGTTGCAGGAAGTCACCGCACGGGGTCAGTGTGTTCATCGCATGCAGCGAATGTTTTGACCATTGAATTACGTTTCTTCCTTTGTTTTAAAGCTCTGCTTGTTGTAAACTAGCATTTTCGGTGGCGGCGTTGTACGCGAAAACCCCAGGTGCCGGCGAGCGTACAATGTGGTCCTTCAAGGTACTACGGCCACATCCGTATTTGTGCGCGCTGTTTTTCGATTATTCATGCTCTTCCGATTATGGGCTTGTCGGGAATCAGCCGTTTACGATATGGCAAGTCTGATATTTCCATCGAAGTGACTTGTAATTTCCAGATTTATGACATTTCGTTATTGCCTGGATATAAACGCGTGACCGTGGCTGTTGCCCGTGGAAAGTGAAGTGTTGCGCTTCTAAACACGTTGTTGGAGTTTCCGTTCCCGGCACGGAGGAAGTAAAAAAAAAAGCTAAAAGGAAGCATTGCGCAATAGTAACGGAAGAAATTCGGCATATCCCACGTACTTTTGGAACCGCCGTTACGCGAAGCATGCGGAGGGAAGGTGACCATGTTGCAATTGCTTTACTGAGCGACACGCCATGAAATGACAATAAATATACGTAAAAATGTTGCCTGCAGTCAAATACGTTCAAGAGTTGCAGATTACCAATTGTTTCACTTGCGGAACGATGTCATAAGGAACAAGCGTATTAGAAACACCAGAAGCGATAAGCTGATATGAAGCGCTGACGGTTGCGAGGTAAGTAGCGCTGAACACTGCTACAAGAATCAACCTTAGGGCATGGCACCTGACTACAATTGATTTTAACCCGACGCGACGGCTGTATCGAAAGAGTGCATATGTAATGTTTATGAAATTTGACAGCCCAGCACTGCAACCACCATTGACGATTCACGAACATTAGCGTATATTTGAAAAGTTGTTCCGAGACCTGGCGTGTGGTAGAATGCTTAACTGACAAGCAGAATGTTTGGGTTCCATTCCAGCTGGGACCCTGACATTTATTCTTTGCGTTCGTAGGGTCAACGCTATACCGATGTCGGGCTTTTCTTAATGCTCACGCGTTAAAATTGCCCATGCGTGTTCTCGCCGTTCTTGAGTAGATAATAAGTGTAAATCACCTGTGGCACATACCCGCATACCAGGGGCACATACCCGCCCATGGGTATGTGCCATTGTCTAGCGGGAAGTGTTTGACGACTCACGCGACGGGATTGTGACATTATTCGAGTGCTGACCAGCGCGTCATATTCGTCAAACCGTCTTACCCTCCCATACTAATTTTGGTTCACGCCATGTTAAAGGGTAATCACGAGAGCAGCCAAACGTAAGCAGATAGATAGATAGATAGATAGATAGATAGATAGATAGATAGATAGATAGATAGATAGATAGATAGATAGATAGATAGATAGATAGATAGATAGATAGATAGATAGATAGATAGATAGATAGATAGATAGATAGATAGATAGATAGATAGATAGATAGATAGATAGATAGATAGATAGATAGATAGATAGATAGATAGACGCCAAGAGGGCTTGCAGTACGCAAAGAAAAGCTTCGCATTTAAAAGAAAGAAAGGAAGCAAGAAAACAAACATCCACGCCCACTTCGCTCCCACCATTTTTTTTTTTTCAATAAAGAAAAGTGCTTCTGGAAAATTTTGTCTTTTCATGGCCATACTGTTACCTTGTTTGATTGATTTATTGATTTGTGGGGTTTAACGTTCCAAAACCACGATATGGTTATGAGAGACACCGTAGTGGAGGGCTCCGGAATTTAGACCCTCTGGGGTTCTTTAACGTGCGCCCAAATCTGAGCACACGGGCCTGCAACATATCCACCTCCATCGGAAATGCAGCCGCCGCAGCCGGGATACGATCCCGCGACCTGCGGGTTAACAGCCGAGTACCTTAGTCACTAGACCACCGCGGCGGGGCTGTTATCTTGTGTTGCCGGTGAAAAAAAGAAAGCGATAACCGTAACACGACGCAGACAGTCGCGCACCGGTGTCAACCCTGCGCTGACGGTTGGTCAGCTAGAAATTATGCGCACAACTGTTTCCGTTACGCCGTTAGAAGATTACATATAAACAAGGACGATGGATGTGTTATCTCGCACCCACCATACTTTCTGCACAATGCGTACCTCACTCGCACGTTCGACGCAAACATTCATGAATTGCTCAACTTTGTTGTTATTCTTCCGCTTCTAATTTATAGTACTTTTTTCCCATTCACGTTGGGGTGTCTAAACTGTGCACTGCGGTCATTGATGCATCGAATTGCCTGCTGTTGCAGTTTATCACGAACCGTATAACAGCCTTCCGACTTCCGGTTCAAATATTATGCACATCTTTTCAAATGAGGTATTAAGAGTGTTCATTGATTGATTGATTGATTGATTGATTGATTGATTGATTGATTGATTACTTGATAAGAATAAGACTGGGGTGGAGCAGATTTGGCAAGCACTCTCAAATCATCGCCCCTATCCCTCATGAGGAAGGTATATAACAGCTGCATCTTGCCCGTATATACTTAGCTATAGAGCAGAAACCCAGAGACTTACAAAGAGGGTTCAGCTTAAATTGAGGACGACGCAGCGAGCAATGGAAAGAAAAATGGTAGGTGTGGCCTTAAGAGACAAGAAGAGAGCAGAGAGCCTTAGGGAACAATAGGGGGTTAAGGATATCATAGTTGAAATCAAGAAGAGGAAATGGACATGGCCCGGGCATGTAGCCCGTAGACAGGATAACCGCTGGTCATTAAGGGTAACTAACTGGATTCTCAGAGAAGGCAAGCGGGTTAGGAGGAGATAGAAGGTTAGCTGGGCAGATGAGATT